TATTTTGTTCATATTTAATTGCTGTTATTTTTCATGTTTTCAGTTTAATGCTTTCATTTGGCTCTTTCAATTTTTCTTTTGGTCACTACTGAAATGATATTTTATGTTTTATTTTTATTTTTTGAAAATTTGTAATCAATAGTTGACAATTTTAAATCAGTTAAAAGAAGAAACATCTTGATTGTTTTCATTGCTCTAACTCCTTTTAGCAATGTAATTCTCTTTTCTAAGTAAAAATCTTTTTCAAATTAATAATTATACTTTTTGGATCTTCTGATAAAGACTTATATGATGACTTTTCCAAAATAATGTGTAAAGAATTTGAGATGAGTATGATATGAGAGTTGTCCTATTTTTTTGAAGTTTAGCATAAGGCAAATGGATAATGAATTTTTTTTTAATCAATCAAAGTACACTAATAAACACTCCCATGAGCTCTAGTGTTCAGTTAGTTAAGGATTCAAATGGAAAATATGTTGATCAAAAGAAATATCGATGAATGATTTGATCAAAAGAAATATCGATGAATGATTTGATCATGTTTTACTTGACTGCTAGCTGACTTGACATAATATTTAGTATTTGTCTCAGTGTTAGATTTCAAGCTAATCCTAAAGAATTCCACCTGACTGCAGTTAAAAGAATCCTTAGATATCTCTTAGGAACCCAAAACTTAGGAATTTGGTATCCTAGATACAACACTTCTTTAGAGATTATTAGATATTCTGATTCTAATTTTGTAAGATGTATGGTGGATAGAAAGATCACTTCTGATACTTGTCAATTTATAGGACAGTCCTTAGTCTCGTAGTCTAATAAAAAGCAAAACTCTGTTGCACTTTCCATTATTGAAGCTGAGTACATGCCTTAGGAATTTGTGTGGACCAAGCCCTTTAGTTAAAGCAATAAATTTTGGATTTAGGATTACCTATTGACATAATTTCAATTTTATGTAATAACACTAATGCCATCTATATCTCTAAAAATGCTATCCAACATTTTAGAACCAAATATATTGGCTTATGACATCACTTTATCAGGGACCATAATTTCAAAGGAGACATTGAGTTACACCATGTATCAACTAAAAATCAACTGGCTGACATCTTCACTAATCCACTGGCCTTTTACACATTCAGCATCTTGAGGACTAGATTGGGTGTGATTGACATAAATGCATGAACTTGATGATTTATGAACTCTAAACTTTATGTTTTTTTATTTTTCTCTTATTTTTATTTTCTAATCTTTTCTTGATTTTGTTTTGATTATTTTGTTCATATTTAATTGCTGTTATTTTTCATGTTTTTAGTTTTATGCTTTCATTTGGCTCTTTCAATTTTTCTTTTGGTCACTATTGAAATGATATTTTATGTTTTGTTTTTATTTTTTAAAAATTTGTAATCAATGGTTGACAATTCTAAATCAGTTAAAAGAAGAAACATCTTGATTGTTTTCCTTGCTCTAACTCCTTTTAGCGGTGTAATTCTCTTTTCTAAGTAAAAATCTTTTTCAAATTAATAATTATACTTTGAATTGAGATCTTTGCTATCTTCTCATAGTAATCTATCTCATGTGAATAATGTTCAAAGTCATTAAATCACTTTCAAGCTTTCTTAATCATGTTGATATCTATATCTTATGAATATGATTCTGCTTTGTGGTCTACTCCTCCTTATGTTAGGAGGCAAAAGATATATCATTTAGAAATTTTTCGTGGTGTAAGTAATAAATTATAAAATGTTTTCTCCTATCAATCTCTTCATTAGTTATCATTGCTAACCATGTATTTTTTACTTAAATCATTTATGTAAAACTCAAGCTTCTTTTGGGACAATTTTTTTATTACTTTCTAAAACAATTTTTTAGTACAAAAATTTCTAATTCAAGAAATTTTTTAACTAAAAGGTTATTTTAGAAAGCATTAAAAGAGCTATCCCAAACAAAATCTCAATTTCATTATGAATGAGTTCGTTAAAGATTTCACTCATTGTTTATTAGCTTGTAACCTGATATTCTTAAAGACAACATACGTCTCTCTCTCTCTCTCTCTCTCTCTCTCTCTCTCTCTCTCTCTCATATAGTGGGTGATGAAAAAACAAATTAATCATCTTAATTGTAATAAAATCATTTTATAAGTCCAAGACCCATAAACCTTAAATAAAACGGATTTGACACTCAATTATAATAAGCCCAAAATGTTGAAAGCCCATTATACTATACATGCTAAAAATCCATCCACTTGAATTTGCGGTAGGAGGTTAAATAGTCATTTTTTTTCAAGGAAAAGATTAAAAACATAAAATTTGATTTTATGTGAAAAAATAATAAAAAATATTTAATAAATATTGCTTTAATTATAATTTGTAATTTTCTTGATTTGTGGTGTAATTGAGTCAAGTGGACTTATAAGATGGCCCGGGTTTGACCTGGATGAATGAATCGTGAGTCAAGCTCATAAAAGCTAACAAGTCAAAGTTTGAACCAATCCCGACTTGACTCTTTGGTTTGTGAGCTAACTCGTTCAAAATTTGTCAATATAAAATATTTTGAAATTCAATAGTTATAATATAAACTTGTTAAAAATATTTATAAAGTATATCTCTCCTCTTTATTTCAAGTGATTTCTTATTATTTCTCATTTACTTTCTCATTATTTTTTATTATGCTATTATAGTAATATTTGAATAACAATCATCGTATCTCTTTCTTAATAAATGAGTTGGCTCATGAGTCGACTCAAACTCTTCAAATTAAACTCAAGTTCGTACTTGAACTCAATTAGTCAATCAAATTCAAGCCAGCTGAAATTGTTTGGTGCTCAACTCAACTCGACTCATTTATTACTTGATACAGCTTTTTTACAGCTTCTTAAAATATTTTTTAATTTAAAAAAAATTATAATTATAAAATATATATTTTAAGAAACAGTAAAAAAACCGTCCCAAACTAATCATCATTCCGGACCATTGACAAATCTAAAAAATGATTGCTCAATGGAAGAAAGCACACACCATCATATCACCTTTAAGGAATAGTTTCCTTTTAATACTCTACCATTGAGAAGATAGTTACCTAAATGGAATATTTATATTTCAGATTATTTTGAATTTGCCGAAAGGGATGATATTATGTTGCTAACTATGCTGACTTTTATATTTAAATATCTATATTTTATTTTAATTATTTTAAATTTAAATGCGTGGAGTTCTACAATTTCTCTTTTTTTTTTATGAAATTCAATTTATTCTTAATATTTTTCCTTTTTAGGGTTTCATCATTGTTGATCTTTATGTTACAATAATTGAATGAGCATAGAGTTTGGATCACAAACAATTTGTTTATAATTATTTTATTTTATTTTAGTTTCCGAGGTAGAAGATTGCAAATGAGAGATTTGATAGGTTTAAGCTTCGTTTGGGATGACTTTTTTATTACTTTTTAAAACGGAGTTTTAGTACAAAAATAAAAAAATTTGTACTAAAACTCCGTTTTAGAAAGCAATAAAAAAACCGTCCCAAACGAAGTCTTAGGCTTTGATTGGAACAACTTTCTTATTGCTTTTTAAAGCTGCTTTCTAGTTAAAATTTTTTTAAAAATTTATATTAAAAGTTGTTTTAAAAATAGTAAGAAAATTGTTTTAAATGAACTCTAAAGCAGTGAAATAGCTGTCTAAGCCTTCATTTGCGACAGCTTTCTTACTGTTTTTTAAAAACAATTTTTAGTATAAAAATTAAAATTTTATATTAAAAAACTGTTATAAGAATCTAAGATTATGATTTCGTTTGGGACAGCTTTTTTTCTGCTTCTTGAAATAATTTATCAATATAAAAATTAAAGTTTTTATACTAAAAATCTGATTCAAGAAGCTGTAAAAAAGCCGTCCCAAAGGACAAAGTTTCTCAGTCCATTATTTTTTTTTAATCTCTTGATTCTTTCTCTACGCAAGAGAAGAAATTGAAGATTATGAAAAAAATTGAAAATTGAAGCTTCCACCTATGTTGTATGAAGACAGCGACAGATGGCGACTTTCAGTAAGGACCATTAATCAATTACTTAGTATAAAAGGAAGCAGCATAGACCCACTAAAGCGACCGACAAACCTCAATTATCCACTGAATTAATTCAAACCACATCCCCTATCAATAGCAGCATCTTAATTGAAAGCAAGATTTACCACACAAGACAAGTACCTCGTCGCCTCTCTACCGCACAGCGATGCACAACCATACACAGCGACGGTACACAACATCAAAATGAATAAAACATCACATAATGAAAGAGAAAAAATGCATAATAATTGCATCTGAGAGAATATATGAATATCCAAAAAATTGATGTCTTGAAGATGAACAAAACATCACATAAACGAGAGAGAAAAAATACATTCTATGTGAATGCCTGTAAAACATCATAAAAAACGCATAAACCATTACTGCCCAATTTATAAATTTTTTGTTAAAGTATTTGGGCTTGTTTGAGAACTTGATATGCATTGAAGGTGAACACAATCCTATTGTATTTGTCTTTACGATACATTTATCTGTTGAAAAACTAAGCTTAACAAAACATATATTGTCTTATAATATACATTAAAAAGAAATTATTAGGCAAGTAAATTGCGCCTTACTCTTAAGCTTTTTTATTCTTTTTCAATGACTCTGCAGAGTAAGCGAAGTCCTCCAAACCAATCTCCATTTTCATAGTCTGTTTCTCATTTTTTTTCTCAACAGCCACCAAATGTTTTATTCCACAAAAACCCTAAATATTTGAGAACTTTTGTGGGTCTCTTTTTTAAAACCATAAAAAAAAAAAAAAAAGTGGGCCGTCGCGATTTCAAAAATTTCATATTTGGGGTTTGTCTGGTCTCGGGTCTTAAGAAAGACACGTCTTAATTTAATTGGAGTCTAGATGTAAAGCTACGTCTGGAGTCCGCAGAATAATTTCTCCTCATCTAAAGGCTATAGCATGCAGGAAAACAGAGCAAAAAAGTCTGCAAGTTCAGGAGACAATTCTTTTATACAAAATAAGAAAACTCAAATCCAACCAGGTTACAAATATTGTACAGGAAAACTGTCAGCAAACTCAAATCCAACCAGGTTACAAATATTGTACAGGAAAACTGTCAGCAATCTATAATGGGGTATTCAAAACTTGCCCTATAGAACACAAGACAAAATGATGTGCTTATGGCCAAACTTATAACAAAATGGCTAAGATGATGGATACAAAGGGGACTAAAGGTATAGTATAAAAATATGTGAGGAAACCAAAAAAAAAAAAGGGGGCTGGGTGAATTAAGTTGGCATGTTATGAGCAGTTTGCACAGTTATGTTAGACATTTTCTTCTGCAGCTTACCCTTTAGCTGCCTAATGGTGGCATCCACCCTTGCTGTGAATCCTATCTTAGTTTCTTGCCTTGCTTTGGACCTTTCTCTATTCCACATAGACTGATCCTCCACATCCTTCCTGTAATACTTAATTTCCTGAATCACTTGATGATCCATGGGATGGAAAGTTCTCTGGTATGATATGTGGGCAAGGTAGGGAATGTTACAAGCCGCGGCAATGAGGAGACTAATGATCCAGTACATTGGCGCCGGCGCGAGGGCCTCCATGAGGATACAGTACTCGTCTTGAGAGAAGAGCGGCGAAGATAAGCCATAACCGAGAAGGAAGATGTACCAGGTGGCAATGCTGCCCCATACAAAGAGGTGTTGGATCCATGTGAAGTGGCTCATTGTTAGAGCAATCTGAATGTTAACTGCCCAGATGATGCTGGTGAACATGGTAGTACCAACAACGGCCATGTCGGCGGTCTGACCTCCTGCTCGAAAGGCTTGATCGTCTAGTACGATAATGGTTAGGAAGAAAATGGCAAGGGATGAGTAGAGACCGTTTCCCATCCAACAGAAGATTCTGTACCAGTCAAAAAATAGGTTCTTAGGACCTTGCTGGTATAGTGCGGGGAACTGCATGGGATATTAAGGTGGGAATTAATCAGCAAAACTTTTAATAAGAAGATTAAGGGAAAACTGAGAATATGAATTAGAGGAAAACTAGTCAATTTCTTACTGCTTCTTAAAGCAACTTTTTAATATAAAATTTTTAATTTTTAAACTAAAAAACTGTTTTAAGAATCAATAAAAAAAGCCGTCCCAAACGAAACCATAGAGAATCAGCAACAGTATAAAATGTTATGTGATTTAGTAATACCAATTATATAAATAAAGCCTCACATGCATTTTAGGTACACATACCTTCGAAGCTAAAGCATAATATAATATACATGTAAGTTAAACAAACCTGCAAGCATACTTCTGAAGATACATCTTGCTCGAATACTCCGAGTGATATCACAGGCAATGATGTCAGAATTACATTGAATAGAAGCATGTACCAATCGTCATAGACAGATTGCCCAGAGAAGCCCGTAAATGCCTCGAAGTACAATATGGTGAGACCAAATACTATGTTCTTGTAGAAGAAATAACAAATCTGAAAGTGGAAAAAGTTAATAATCCAAGGCAAAATTGTCATGGAGAAAACTAAGGCTCTCACATGCATATCAAAGATTAAGGCTTCGTTTGGGACAACTTTCTTTCTGCTTCTTAAAGCGGCTTTTTAATACAAAAAATTTAATTTTTGTACTAAAAAGCCGTTTTAAGAAGCAGTAAGAAAGCCATCTCAAACGAAGCCTAAATATAAAGCACAAAGCAAAATTGGCAAACAACTACGCTGGGCATCTTACCATCTGTGCTATTCTTTTGTAGCACCAGTGGCCATGGACAACAAGAAGTCGCTCAAGAAATCGAAATTGGGCAATGGAGAAGTCACTGGCCATCACTGCCTGGCAAGAGCATAAAAGATCTAAGCTAGCTAGCAAAAACTGAACATGAGATAACAATTAATAGCTGAGACTAAACAAACCATTAAATAGCCGAGAAAGTTTATAAAAGAGTTTCATACCTGCATTCCTTCAACCCCGCTGATACCAACACCAATATCAGCCTCTTGAATCATTCCAACATCATTTGCACCATCACCTATGGCTAGAGTTGTTTTTCCTGTTCCTTCTTTCACTAACCTGGTCACCTAGAATCAACAGATTTACAATATGTCTTAGAGAAATGATTTGTGGGTGTTTCTTATTAAGGACAATAAAATAAGCTAAATCCCTCTTGTTTTACCAGTGCTTTCTGTTTTGGGGATACCCGACAGCAAATAACAGAAGAGCACTCTACAGCAAGATCGAGGAACTTCTTCTTGATACCATCCTCCAAGGCATAGGTTAAAGCTTTCCCATCAATGATTAAAGCAAATGCTGCATGAGGGTCCTTCTCTAGATTCACAAGTAGGGAGGCATTAGTGATTTGCATCAACATGTTCTCCGTTATGGCCTGATCAGTTAGCAATAATAATAACAAAATGAAACACATCTGATAAAGAAAACAAAATTTGAATGTTCACTCACAAGCTATAATACCATTTTTGCATCTTTCCCTATCAAGTTGGTGTCCATTGTGGATATACATATCTGTTTCATGCCTTGCCTCAGAAGACTGCAAGCAAATCTGCAAATGCAAATAGTATTTCCTTAAGCTTAAGAAGAACAGAAACAAAGAAGGGATATTTACGCATACCACTCTATACTATTCTATTTACATATTTAACACCTAAAACTATAATTTACATACATACCACCTATAATTCATATTTATATCAACTGAGTGGTAGAAATGAAATATATGAGTGGTAAGAAGGAAATATGAGTGGCATATTTGATATTAAAATATTATAGGGTGGTATGTATGTAATATTAAAATTTTAGATGTTAGATATATAAATAAGATGTTATAAAGTGGTATGTATGTAAATTTCCCAAATTCGAAAAATAATGATATAACTGAATTATTGACAAAAGAGTCATACCCTATATTAATAGCAGTCTCCATCTTATCACCTGTTAAAACCCAAATCTTCAAACCGGCTTGGGCTAATTTATCTATGCACTGAGGTACCTAGGGATGCATGGAGAATTTGAAAATGCTAATGGTTATTATTAGTCTTGTGGTAAAAGCCAGCACAAATACTTACTCCTTTCTGCAATTTATCCTCCACAGCTGTAGCACCAACTAAGATTAAATCACGTTCAATCATATCAGCAACTTCTTCCAGTAGTGTCTCTCTGTCAGGTCCAACGGTCGTTTTTGCTTTAATGAATTCATCATTCCAAGATGTGTATTCAGATATCCCTATCGTCTTGTATGCTAAAGCAAGGGTTCTCAGCCCTACTTCCCCATATTCATTTAGATGTTTTAGTGTATCATTCTCATAGAGTCTTCCGTCTTTTGACAATCTTTCAAGAATTAAACTGTTTGGACCAATCAAATCAATGCAAATATATATTAAAAACAAAGAAATGATGTGGATATTGATTCTTCTTTCTTCAGATGATAAAAAGGAGAAAAATAAATGAATGAAAGAACACTGTAAATACCTGTCAGCACCTTTACAGAAGAGATTTATCTGCCCTGATTCATCCTGCACAACAACCGACATCCTCTTCCTTTTGCTATTGAATTCCAAAAGATTAAGGATCTTGAACTCCCTACAAATACCACGAACTGATTAGATACCTGAGATGTATATGATGCAAGGCAACTGCTCAGAGAGAATCATCTCTTATGCTAACCTTTCTGTGGGACATTCAGAAGTATATTTTTCGCGGATAAAAACACTTGATTGGGTCCTCTTACAAAACTCAAATCCTAATTCCCTGGCTGCAACCAGAAATGAACCTTCATCCGGTGACTCAGCTTCATAGTTAAATCCACCAGTTTCCTCATTTAGTTCAGGAATTGCGGTGTGACAAACTGCAAGTATCCTGAAAAACAAAACAATGGTGTCTCTATTAGGTTCGCCGGTCCAATTTCCATTCATAAGGCGATCATCCTCAAAATTGAAACCTTTAATCCGCGATTTCTTGTTCCACATTTTCAAAGAAATGCCATTATCCGGTTGAATTTCTGATGATCCAAAGTCATTCCCTTGGTCCTCCCATAGATCCTGATTGATATTTTGTTGTTCTGGAGCATTTGAAGCTTCGGAAGCCATTTTTTTTGCAGCAGCAATTTCCACTTCACTAGATCCCACACCATAAGGCACTCCTCCTATAGAGCACTTCAAAAAGTCCATTTGATTGCAAGTTAGAGTGCCCGTTTTATCTGACAAGATAGTATCAACCTGACCAAGCTCCTCATTTAAATTTGAGGTCCGAGCTTGCGCTGTGTTTCCAGACTCTTCATCAAACATTTGTATATCTTGGTTGATAAACATTGCTTGCAAGACCTTAACAAGTTCAATAGAAACATACAATGAAATAGGTATGAGATACCCATATAAAATAAGCGCCGTAATGAGATGAAAGATTCCAGCGGTAGCAGGCTTTGATGGATCATACAAGTTCGTTGTATTATTAGGCTGCAAATACCACCATTTTGGCATTCCAAGCTTTGTCATGACTGCAAATCCAATTGAACTAATTAGAGAAATCACCAAAAGAAGGCTAAAAAGTACATAGATGATCCGATCCATTTTCTTTTCAATTCTGCTTCTTTTTGATGGAGAATGTGTTGCATTCTGCATGACTTTGTTATCGTGCCCAGTAAAAATAACCACGCCATAGATATATGCAGTGTTCCTAAGCTTTGAATCTCGAAGAAGAATCTGAGTTGGATCAAGGGAATAAACCTGATTTCCATATTCAAAGTTGCCAACAAATGTATATAGATTTGGATTGGGATCTTCGCATCTAATGGTACCAGTGAAATCCTTGAATGTCTCGTCATCATCCAAGGACAGAGTTACCTGCAAAGATCGCTTCACCTTCAAGTTTGTCTCTCCATCCAAATTCATTGTTTCAACATAGCATATCCCGTCTTCATAGCTAGATGACAAAAGAAGCAAATCAGCAGGAAAGAACCGATCCTTCTCTACCTTGACAATGTCCCCAACCCTAATATTTTGCCAGTGCTTGTAATCAAATTTCCCTCCCCCTTTGTAGACGCTGACCTTCCTGAGATTTACCTTCATATCTTGTATAAACCTTCTCCAATCTTCCAACGCCTCTTTTACCATACTGAGCCCAACAACAAACGATAGTGGGGCAATCATGCTTATTGCAGAAAATGGGGCAACTGGAGTAAGAGAGAGTGCTGCAGCAAGAAGAAAGTAGAGGTTCGCTACCCGTCTAAACTGCTCGAAGATTGCTTTTGGAAGGAAAGTAATGATATTATACTTTGTAGTGGAGATGTAGTTGGTGGGATATCTGAAAGGCTTTTTCCTGTGAATCCGAGGTTGGTTGCAGTGCACAACTCGAGAGTAGCCCGGTCCTTGGAGAGAGGGGGGATTACCTGAGTCTAATTGCACAGATGGACGGACACAAGAGAAAGAATAGAGCTTGCTCCACCTGAGATTCTCCCTAATTCTACCCCTCGCCATCCTTCTCCACTCCCAAGAGCTTTTTCAGCACAGAACTTATTCAGTGCATTCCATTATTCTTCGAACACAGCAGGTTACATCCCTCCATTAGCTGTGATATATTTTCCAGCAGAGACCAGTAATCCAAAGCAGAATCCATAGCAAAAATATGAAGCCTGAAAGTTTTTACACGATATAGAATGAATTAATAGAAAGATAAATAGATCATAAACTGAAAAATCTACATTAATTTACTCCAAAATTTGCAGCAAAAAAAAAAAGAAAAAGAAAAAACAGAGCCGACATTTTTCCCAGATCTGCTGTTTGCCTGGAAGGGTTAAGCAAGAAGAAAAGTAGAAAAGACTGAAATGTCGTAACTCAAAGAGGCAAAAACACCATAAAAATAAGAATCTCCATGAAAATACCTAGAGTCACACTAAGATCACCCTCACAGAACACATCAAACACTCAAAAAACAACCAACATCAAGAATCCATAAGAATTAACGCAACAAAAAAAACCAGATTGCGACACGTACAATCCAATCAAACAACAATGAAAAGAGAAAGCTCAATTGAATCCAGAACCGACACAGAGAAGCAAAGCCCACCTGAATTCCCGGCGAAACGCCAAAATGACCCTCAGATACCCAGATTCAAGAACCGTAATCCCAACAGCTGACCTAAATTCCTCCCAGATCAAAGACAATAGAGGATTGCGAAGACGAACAAGTAAAAGAAATCGAGATCTCCTGCAGTGAAGAAGAGTTTTTGCTGCAAGATCACACAGCCCAAACCTGTTTGAGGAAATTCCCACCTCCATCAATTAAATCTTTTTCTTATTTTTCTTTCCCCAATTTATTAACCAACCAGATCTCCGCATCACCGTCGTGCACCGTACACCACGCGTTGCCACGTGTCTTTATAGTTCTCCAATTTTGGCGGGGTAAGAAAACAACGTTTTCCTTTTTTTTTATTTTTCTTAAATGCCAAATCGAATTTAAGCTTAAAAAAAATTGTTGAGCTGGATCGACCGCGGGGCCCGCGAAATAGTTTGAATAGCGTCCACATGGAACGACTGCATTGGGTTATTTAGCTGTAAGCGTAAAACATGGAAACAGGTGATTAATTGAATGACGTGAAATCAATTACTTGTCCGACGTGGTATAGTTAGGTGGAGCATTGACAGCTAATAAATAGGTTCGGATGCAGTTGGGTTCGGTAACCTACACCGCCGGAATAGCTTACGGGCCTACGACTGCAGCGCAAGCGGGATTATCATTGGCCGCTTTTATTATTTAAACTAAGAAAGATTTAGTGGGATGCGATGACAGTATTAGAAAAATAACAAAATAAAAATTATATATATATAATCCAGTATTCAATCAGCTAATCATTAAGATATTTAGGCTTTATTGGGGACTGTTTTTTAAAACTTTATGAATTAAAAAAAATTAAATTAAATTTTTATATATCAAAAATAAAAAAGTTGTCCCAAATAAATCCTTCAAAAAAATAAAATATAGATTAAAATAAAATTTTAAATGCTTGAAATATTTGTTGCTTAGAAAAATAATAATGTCAGGATTGAAATAATTATTATTTTTTAAATAATGTCATATAACAATGATAGGATTTTCTCTTAAAATATTTTTCAAAAATAGTTTAAATATTAAAATATTATGGAAATTCTTTTTGGTGAATTAAATAAAAAATTTTATGTTTTCCAAAATTCATTCCAAGCATTTTCATGTATTTAAAAAAAAATAAATGAATTTTAATAAATCTTAGGAACTTATTTTTATGCCTCATCTGCAATTTATGCCCTTTGATGTTATTTTAATAACGGGCATTATTTAGGACAAATGATGCAACTAATAATTCATATTAAATATTTTTGAAATAAAATAAAATTATGAAAATAAACCTTAAAACTTAAATAAATCAAGAAAATACTTTAAATAAACAAATTTCAAAATTTATTTAATTTAAAACCATATCATTTGTAACAATAAAATAAAATTTTAAATGCATATATATGTTAAAATAACTATTATTTTCGAAAATTTAAAATACCTATTATTAATGATCAAAATTACTCCTAATTATTTGATCATTTTCAATTTTAATTAAGCATTTAAAATGATCATTACTCAGTTTTAATTCAGAAATTAAAATTGACTGTTTCTTAATTTTAAATTTAGTTTCTAAAATTGAAATTTCTTTTATTGCTATGATGGGTAGCAATAATTTAGAATTTCTATATATTTTGAGTCCCTAAGCCTTTCTCTCTAACCCACTTCTAATAAGAAGAAAGATACACCATCATTTAAGAGAAAAAAATATTTAGAAGAATTTAAAATTAATGAAGAACATGATCAAATATCAATAATCAGAAGTATGTAAAATATGTTTATAAATTAGCTTCCACATCTTTATTTTATCAATTATATATTTTATAAATTTATCTCAAATCAAGATATTGTTGAATTTGAGAAATGTTTGTAGAATTGACATAAGATTTTCTGACATTTGGTATTAGAGCCTTTTCGAAATCTCTGCCTTGATATTTTTATTTTATTTCATGGTAGAATGATCATGTAAAGATTTAAGATTAAATGTCTTAGCATGATTTTAAATATACTTTTGATTCTTTTATAAAATCTAAAATGATAGAATATTTTGGAATCATAATTCCAATTTTATTATATTTATTAATATTTTGCAAATTTGAGTTTTTACAAGAAAATATCAATTATTCAAAATTAAACCTTTGCTTAATATATGATGGTATTTTAGAGGTTGTTTGGTTGCAATTGGATTCAGACATATATTATTTAAATATTTGCCTGATATATGTTGGTATTTTCCACAAGCAATTGATGTTGCTATTGATATTGATTTTAATAATTTTGATAGAATGGAGAAAAATAAATTTGCAAAATTTCAAATTAGGTAAATTCTTTTTAGATTTATATTTATTTCAAATGCAATTAAATTTATTTATGCTTAATTATATTGAGTTACATTTTCTCTCTCTCTCTCTCTCTCTCTCTCTCTCTCTCTCTCTCTCTAAAACTAAAGAATTTAAGCACAAAAGTTAATATCTAAGTGATTTATTTATAATTTGAATAATTAGGAATTAGCCACGACATCCTTAATTGTGAAAATTGCACAATAAAATTTTACAAATCACATAAATAATTAAATGCATTAATCGTAATTAATTAGATAAATATATTAAAATTATCCCACGGAATTTTTATGTATTTCTATAATTAATAAAACTGATACGTCACCAAAAAATAATCTCGATCAAGCACGAATCTCGAGGCAAAGTCAAGTTGGAAACTTTAAAAACTAGATCGGAGACCATCTGTATTCCGATTTCAGCAAACTTACAGTCAAACTGATCATCTCAGAAACACAAACCCAACTATACCAAAATCGACCCAATCCGAGCCCAAATGGGTCCGAATCGAAGACTCAAAGCACTGTTGGAAGGTTCGAATTACAATTTGAGTTACCAAACAGTCTCCGAATTTAACGAGCTTGTACTCGAATCGAACGGCTCGACGAGACGAATCCAACGAGCCCAAGATCACTGAATTCTGACATCACCAAAGCCTTCAAATGTCTAACGAACGGTGCATGATCATGGGATTCAATATCGACAATCCATTCAGCCACTCCCTATTTGCCCCTGATCTCACACCTATTTACAAGCTATGCCACTCCAGAAAATCTATAAATAGACCCCTCATTCCTCATGAAAAAGGGGGAAGAAGCCAAGATAGAAGAAGGAAGAGAAAGAAGAAAGCTCCTGCCGCCTAGCTCCTCCTCGACCACCGCCGAAGTGCTGCCGCACCACCGCCGTAGCCTTGCCGCACCACCGTCGGACCACCAAGGGACGCCGTAGTGCTGCCGCACCACCGCCGTAGTCTTGCCGCACCACCGCCGGAGTATTACCGCAACACTGCCGTAGTTTTACCACACAACTGACGGACCACCAAGGGACGCCGAATTGCCATCCGAAGCTGAAGTATCCCCTGACACTAAAGTGTCACTACCGATCCACCGCCTGACATCGGAGTGCCGTCGGACCACCACTTGACAGTGGAGTGAAGTTGGACTTTTGCAAAACTCTCAGTTGATATTTGTAATCTGGTCGAGGACAAAATCAAACCATTGTACTTTCCTCAAATTTTAGTGGAATCATCTTCAACTGGGCTAGGCCCCGTGGTTTTTTCCCTTTCCGGGTTTTCCACGTAAAAAATATTGTGTTTTCTGTGTGTGAGCTGGATATCCGTGCAACGCTAAGACGTAGAATTATAACTCTATCGCCGCGTATATTCTAGCCCGCAACA